AAGTTGGCCCAAATAGGTGACGCAGCACCTTGTCGTGGTCACACAGAATGATCCACGGACCTTCTGGAGCTGGGACCAGATCCAAAACGACGGCGTCGTCGTCCCCTTTCCAACGCATCCAAGAACGGCCCGTTTCGACGTCGTATGAGGAAGTTATGACCGAAACAGTGACGACGTGTCTGCTGAATCCGAGGGTGACGTGGCAGCTGAGTTGGGAACGAATTGCAACTTGGGGAAGACCATGGCGTCGGTGTGTCCAGCGTGGCGATGTCCTCATCATAAATTTACACTAAGAAACAAGGATAACATTTTTTAAACGAATGTAATCCATTATTCGATGCACCTGCAGTTCAAACTTACATTTTCTGGAAAAATTCAACAAAACAAAATAAACTATAGAAATATGCCGAAAGGCAATGAAAATGTCCCAAATTTAAACATGTTGTTTGTGGTAGTGTACTAAAGCTTCAAAAAAAATTGGTGGCAAAAAACCAAAAAAAAAATATTTTGCCGAGTGCCAAGTTTTGGCACTCGGCAAAATAAATTCTTTGTCGAGTGCCAAACGGGGGGCACTCGGCAAAGAGGACGCCGCTGGATGCCGTTAGGCCCCCTACCAATCTTTGCCAACTGTCTGCCTTTGCCAGGCACTCGGCAAATACATCTTTTGCCGAGTGCAGATCTTTGCCGAGTGCCTGGCACTCGGCAAAGGCCTCTTTGCCGAGTGTCATATTTTGTCGAGTGCGGCGCTCGGCAAAACAGGTCTTTGCCGAGTGCCCGAAATTTAGCACTCGGCAAAGATTTTTGCACTCGGCAAATCACGTTTTTCCCGTAGTGCCAGGAGCCCGGAACTAGCCGCCTTTCTTCCATGGGTCGACTGCCGAAACAAAACGTGCTTTCAAGTCAAAATAATCCAAGGTCGGCTCGGCCAAACTCATTAAGCTCTTGAGAGGATCCAGGAGCAGCCGATGAGCCTCCTGCGTTCAGTCCTGCCCATCCCAAACTGCACAGGCATTCCTGACATAATTGACGAACGCCTGGATCGATCAGCACGTCCGGCGCCTGACTACCATCCCGGTCATCAAGTTATTGGTAATTTGCTATGCCTGACATATTGACGACATTAACACACGGTAGATTTGCTAGCTCTTGATGGGGAGGTTCCAGGACCAGGACCAGCTGATGAACCTTACCTTTCCTTTCGATGAACATCAAGGTGAGCGAGCGAAACGTACAAGCACACGTATCCTTTAATGACCACCCTCATCGAGAGAGGTAAAACTCAAACCAATATGAAATCCTCAATATACCAGTGGATGCAGTGCCATTCAATCATCAGCATATTTTTAATTTGCTGGTATCACATCTCTCAGTTCTCCTCCTTATTATTTTATTAGAAAAAAAAATCTGTGCCCCATGCATCGTGGCTGCTGTCACCGACTCACCGTGTGCTCCACTGTTACATACTAAACCCAATTCCCTCATAAAAACATACTGCACTGAAAACACAAATTGCAGGTCTGTTAGCTTCTGTGTGCAAAGATGCCTCTCAGTTAGCTAGTGCTGTGTGTGCAAAAGATGCATCTCGAGTGCTCTTGGGGCGAGACGTTCCAGGACCAGCTGACGAACCTTCCTTTCGACCAACATCAAGGTGAGCCAGCGAAACAGATATAGCAGGCCACCAGTCCTGTGGTGACCACCCTTACCGAGAGAGGTAAAACTCAAACCAATATGGAATTCGTGGTGGATCTACATTTATTTATAGATTTATAAATACTTTTTAACAAGCATACATTTAAAATAAATCTATAACTAAGTTATACATAATTCAATGAGTATAAAATTTTTACTACAGTTCAAGCATATAATAATTAGCCCACCATAAAAATTTCATCATAATTGGACCACAGAACTGCAACTATGAATTAATTATAGAAAAATCATAGATCTAAAGCTACAACAAAAATTTTATGCTAAAGCATACCATATTATATGTTCACTATATAGATCTACTCACATGGAGTCCAACAAAATTGGATTTTCTATTTTATGATTTTTCTGTGATTTATACTATGATTTTTCAAAGATTCAGCCGAAATAAATAAAAAAGAAAAAGACAAAACAATCTTTGAAAACCGCTTATAACCGGTTAGGGAGGTAAAATGAACAGTTTAAAAAGTTTTTTTTAGCAACGAATGGTTTTAAAAATTCAGGAGGTGGTTTACCTAGTGTTATATAGCTTAGGGAGGAAAAGGGAGGTAATGTAGACTTTTCTCATAGAAAAATAGGTTGACCCGGCGGCCCAGCACCAACGGTAGCCCAACACAGCTAAATTTAATAGGCAGCCCAGTTCATAAAAGCATGGCAGGGCCTACCCAAGAGCCAAGAGCCCACAGCCCAAGGGAGAAGGCCAAAAGTCCCAGTAGGTGCCGGTGGCTTGCCGCAGAAACATTCGACCATTCTTCGTTTCTTCTCACTCTGTCCGACCTTCCAAACTTCCGCGTCGGCGCGTCGGCATTCTGGTCGCCGTTCCGTGATCACAATCGCCGCTCGGTGCTGAAGGCGATGACGGACGGGCGGATGGCCGCCGCCGCTGCCGCTACTCTGCGTTGATTTGGTCCTGCTCAAGTACGGAGTACCCCTGGCTTTTTTAATCGTTTTTCAGCTTTATGTATAATACATTCAGAAGGGAAGCATAAGGCAATACAATTTGCTTGTGTTCCAACAAAGTAGATACTAGATAGTACGTTCGGCGTTCATCTGTTCATCTTGCCAGCAAACATGGATGTCACATAAGTAAAATAGTAAATTAGTGTCTCTTTAATCATAGTATAGCTAATTGTGCATTCAATATCTACTTTTGTGTATAATTTTGTTGATTGAATAATTTGAATGTAAAATGATATTCCACCAGCATCCTTTTGCTGTTATCACATCTATCAAGTTCTAAAAAAACACACGAAATAGGCCAATTCACTGCTAATTGCTACCTGCCTTCCAAATATATTTTGCTCCTTTTCGTCTACTGTAAAATAAAAAAGAGGGAACAATGTTTTTTCGAATGTAAAAGAGGGACCAATGTGTACTTATCGTTTTAGAGAAAATCTGTGCCACGTAAATATGGTCACTGCTGTCATGTGCTCCATTGGCACACCCTCATCTTATATCTATCTACATTACTATTGTACTCAATTCCTTACAAAAAAAAACATACCGCAGTGTGACAACTATAGATTTGCAAGTGGATTAGCGAGTGCTCCGTGTCCAAAGATGCATCTTTGCTTGGCTGATATAAGAAACTTACAGAAGGCCAGTTTAATGTTAACAGCAATTAATTTTTCCTTGAGGTATTCAAATATATTTAGTCATTGAGAAAAAAAACGACATTTAAAGAGTTCTACAATACAGAATAGACCACAGTTTTGTTATTATTGGAATTTTAACGGCATCACCTACAATCAAAACCATTTGCTACCACACGATGAGATGTAACGACATACAAATTACAACAACGGGAATGTACAGTGAAGTAACCATTCACAAAAACATTAGCATGTATTGCAAAGCATATGTATTGAGGTATGTATATGTACACTAAAACTTAGTAGGGTCCAAATATGGTATTGGAACAATTGAAGGAAAGGGCTGCATTCAGTAGCCTGCCAGGAGCCAAAGAGATGTGTTCATAGCTTCCAAAGCACTAATTGCATTCAAAAGATAATAGTAGTATGTTTTGGTGAGAAAACCCAGTAGTGGCCTGTTTCGTGGTCTCCCTTTCTTTTTGAGATGCGTTTCAAGATTCCTCGATCCATAGGTGAACGATTTTTGAATTGAGCATTTTCCAATGAGCTCCATAAATAAAATCCATTTGCTGTGATGATTTTGTCTTGGCTATTTCAAATGAGTGTTGCCCATAATTACTTTCAACTGCCGGTCAATAGCATAGACACATTGATTTTAATTATTGATATCTCTTTATGAGAGAAAACCACAAGGCTACACATGATCAAATGTTCCAATGTCAGAAGTGAGGAGTTAAACATAGAAACACAACGAACATACACAATTGAGGTTGAGGCTAGAATTTCCTACTGCATAACACACCATTTAATAATTCTACAGTTCTGGAGTATATGGCTATAAGATAAATGTGAATGTGAATGTGAATGTTAATATTGGTCCAATGCTGAAATAATGCTTTTAAACTAGAAACTATGACATAAGAGAAGAATATTTCAGGGTTTAGTGTCTTTACCTCACATACACAATGTATTATTTCAGGAAACCATGCTTCATTGGAATTAGGTGATTCAATTACAATGTTGGTAGGAAAAAATATTACCTTTGTTATGTCCTTGGTGCCATCCAATACCATTCTAGGCCAGTTATCATCCATAAGAAGTACAACCATTTTCATAATCCTATTATGTAATTACAAGACCACCATTAGTTATATTAGTTTTTAAGAAACATAAAACCTTGCCCATCTCTGCAATAAAGAAGAATTGTGAAGTTAATAATTAGAGTATAATGAAGTGCCTAATCAAGCTTGCTTGTTTGGTTTGTCTAAAATTTGGCAAGGTGATCAAGGACTATGCAGCACGGATACGGATACGTGTATCGGTATCGGAAGGATACGGATACGCGGATACGGCAATTTCCTAAAAAACCCGATACATGGATACGTTTACTATTTAAAAAATAAAATAAAAAATAATAGTGCATATTAAAATTTTAAAACTGATAACAATAAACCGTTGCAATTAACTACTTAAGTGTACTATTACTACAACACAGCAGGTCTCATTCTCAAGTCTCCTCAACTCTCAAATATAGTAGTCTCAAATTTAGAAAATTAATAAAAGACATGCAGGCTTGCAATTCATGCAGCAACAAGTTCCTACTTGCTGCACTGCTCATATTTGGAGACGCCATCTACTGCATGCAAGCAATGAAGCAACAAGAAGTCACTAACCGCACTGCAGAAATAGAATAGATCGAGAATGGGGAGAGGAAGACGAAGTGGGGAGCAAAGAAATCAAGCAACAAGCAGTCACGAACTGAAGAAGAAGAGGAGATCGAGAACGGGGAAGGGGATTAACTTAAGGAACTCGTCGCAGCGGCCACGAACTGAAGAAGAAGGGGAGATCGAGAACGGGAACTCGCTGCAGCCTGGATCCACGTGGCAGGGGCGGAAACTCGTCGCTGGCGGCCAGCGAGTAGGGACGGAAGCTCGTCGCCAGCGCTGCGCCGCTACGTGGGGGAGGCGGAGGCGGAGGCGTGAGGCTGCGCGTGGGAGGGCGGACCGACGGAGGCTGGTCGCCGGTGGGCGTCGGACACGGGCGCTGCGCCGCTGCGTGGGGGAGGCGGAGGCGGCTGCGTGAGCCTGCGCGTGGGAGGCAGAGGCGGCTGCATAGGGTCGGGACTCGGGAGTAGGGCAAGGGATGGTGGTAACTGGTAAGTTGGGCTGGGCCGTATCGATTGGGCCGAAACGTTTCCGTTCCTTAGTTTCCAGCCCAATTAAGAAGGGATTCGTATCCCAGCCGTATCCCGAGCGTATCCGTATCGGATACGTATCCGACACGGGATACGCACCCTTCCTGGCGTATCCGTGTTTCATAGATCAAGGATTTCCCTTTTATGGAGGCAATGTGTTGACACTTATTTCGGTTACCACACTAGTGAGGGCTAGATCGCTTGAAGCTACACACAGCCTAGATACATAGTGGATGGAGGTCTAAATGACGAGGACGACTAGCAGACCAACAAGGCCGATTATTTGACACTTGTTCTTCGCCCGAAAAACCCACGAACGCCTTTAGAGAAAGACCCATCGGGGAGATGCATAGCAGGGGTGCTCTAGGATCGCTAAGGCCATCTAGAACGCCAGCAAATCTTATCGAGTGAAGTTTTGGAGAGCAAGAGGGTGGAAGAGATAGGGTTTGGAGGTGAAAAGTAAAGATAGATTGATTTTTGATGATTGGATAGATGGATCTTTGAATCGGTCGTGATCCTCTTATATAAATAGAGGGAGCTGGTTTTATCCTAGTAGAGAACTTTTTCACACGAAATCTACAAGTTTCCCACGAGATTAGATGAGCTTCCAAATGAAAAACATGTTTTTGGGCAGAGACTACCAAAATCGGCTCAGCCTGTTTCCAAAATTGACCTAGGCCGCTAATATAGGATGCACGGAGGAATATGCCAAAACTGACCTAAATTTGGGCAAAAGTACTACTTTAAATTATTCTTTTCTTGTTTGCATGTATTTTTCCAATACATCTTCGACTCTCCGACCCATTTTTGGCTATCAACATATGCCCCTTGTTTTTAAGTAAAGTGTTGGTGATATGGACCTAGGGTACCTTACTGCCTGAATATTAGCATAAAGCGGACCGAAGCAGGCGAAGATGAGGCCCAGTCGACCCAACATACATCATCAGACGTGGCGGACAAGAAACCTATCGTATGGGGCTTGGACGCCGACCTATACTGTAGATTTCCTTGTAATCGATTGGGAAACATATATGTAAGCCGATCAGGACTCTCAGTAACCCTACCCTCTGGACTATATAATGCAGGATAGGGAGTCCCTGATCGGTACCTGAACATATTCTAGGCTACATTGCATAGGCAACTAGTCATCAGCAGCCCCTTGTAAACTCGAGCATACGAGATAAGGGTACCATGAACCAGTATAAATCTATATCCCATGTGCTACCCTTTTGATTCCCTGTGCGTGATACGCTGGTCTCGACTGCCCAAGCCAAAACCTCCGACATAAAGCATATGCGAGTTTCAAAATACATGGAAACCATAGCAACGATGTCGAGTTCATTGGCTATCTTTGGTCTAAGGGCAATGTATATGTCGACCTTGTTATTCTAAGGGCGATATGTGTATATCGAACATTCTTAAGCAGTTCTAGGCTTCTTGCTTGATTTTCAAAGGTACCTGAGTTTTGCAATGTATATATTCTTAAGCAGTTCTAAGCAGTTTTGCAATGTATATGTTTCAAAATACATCATTTAGTAGTCAAAATATTCATATACGATTACGAAGTAATGTAGTTACAAGAGATTCTGTGGTGTAATGATAGTAGGTGTTATTGTTAAGTTGTAGGTCACGGGATTTAATCCTAGGAAGAACACGATTTTTTGGTCTTTTGGATTTTCTGGAAAAAACACAAGTTGTAGGTGTTATTGTTAAATTGAAATACAGACTGTTAAGGCCCATATGGTTGGCAGTGTATTTTCAAATTGAAATATTTTATGAAAAGACATCCAGAAAGTTCTCCAAATTAATAAAGAAATCGTGGCAGTGTATTTTCAATTTTTCATCAATCATGATATCATAGACATGCTTGGAATAAAAAAGAAATGGTACCCACTTAATGTTTTGCCACAACTGCTGTTAGGGAAGTACTCCATTAACTGGTGTGCAACATAGTGCATCAATACGAATCTCCTTGATGTTTGAGAACCCAGTGTCTTGTATCCTACAGGTGGTGACGGTACCCTGCGCGAAAGTAAACACTCCTGTCCCACCCATAATAGCCCAGTCGCCTTCTTGATTTCCTATTGTTTTAAGACTGGAGCCCTGGAATCTAGATCAGGAATACAGTATAAAACAATCCAGTCAGCTTTCAGCAGCCCAATCCACGGCGAGCTATGTGCATACAAAGTTAAAAAAAAAAAGTTATACTAGATTTCAATGTTCAAAGTATTTAAGACCAACATTAAGTAATGGCAAACCTTTCATCAGTAAACACTATGCTGCTCCAGTGGAACCAGCCATCATAGCTCATACTAGTCTTGGTATGCAGGCCTTGTGCATGTGCAACTAGCTTTTTACCAGGGCCAAGACTATCGTATAAGGGGTAGTCATGCACATTGGTGTAAGCAAACGCCTCAGGCTGCCCTGGATTTGCTATATTTACTTGGTTATAGTCTGGCCCACTGATGATCTGGTGCATATACAGTATGCGATTATACTTTCTCAAGGACTGTGCGGTTACAGGAGCACTCTGTGGATTAGTATTGGCCATAGGGCTGGACACATTTGAGATTGCATTGGAACCAATGATTGTCATCCCGTCCTCGAAAGTCTGCAAGTAAATGAAGGAGATCCTCTTCTTAGTGTTGAACAAATATTTGAGCATAGAACAAAGGATTTGGAAAGCTAGCTAGGGTACTCTAGAGCTATATACTCCTTGCCTTAATTTTAGTGCAAATGAACTAAACTAGGCAGATGCCAATTCTAAGAAAACATATGCAGCTAAATCGACATATTCATTTGAACCCATTAACTTTTAAAGTTATTCAAATGTAATGAATCAGATATCTTCATGGACCCTGCAATTTCTTTTACACACTCCGTTCGAAATTGTAAAACATAGTTCGTGTTGTTAGGACAAGCGACCAAAATTAATAACATTGCTAGATTTGTATCAAAAGTATTTATTACTTAAAATTACAAATTTGTATCATACAAATGACATATTAATAGTAGAGTACTTAGGTACACGACTTGTCCATGAGATACAACCTTGAAAAGATGAACGGAGGGAGTAATCTAATATGCAGGCAAATTAATTAAGGAGCATCAAGTAGAGAAAGTGAACATGGATTAACTAGGTTTATCTATTCTCCAAAAACAAACTAGGTTTATCTACTACAACTAAACTACATTCAATATGCTGTACTCTTGTCATTTTGACTCACAGTAGATGGGAATCTTCTGAGAAGAATGTATATATGCACATCGTTATTTAACTACTATTGGTAAACTTTTTTTTTTCAAATTGAATCCAAGGGAAAATATATATGTTCATCTTTGTCGTTTAAACATAACCTACTCATATGTGGCTGGGCCTAGTACATGCATGGTGGTGCTTTCGGCGTTAACGTGAATTTGAAATACACATGAGTGCATAGACAATTGATTCTGGTGAGTACCCTATTGTCACCACACATGAAAATGGCAACTACTACTAATATAGATGAGCACCTAAGTAATTTTACCTCTGAACTAAAATGACTGATAATGGCTCGATTGTCACTCTGTTTGGCACAAGGGGGTAGAAAGTAAGCGGCCAAAAAAAAATGCTAACATCACCTTATTATTAGTCTCAACTGGTGTGGTCGGTGGGTAGCAGAATGCATGGATACGAATCTCCTTGATGTTTGAGGGCCAACTTTCTCGTACTCTATGTGTGGTAACGGTACCCTGCACAAAAGCAAACTCTCCGGTCCCTCCAACGATAGCCCATTCGCCTTCTTGATTTCCTATTGCATTAAAGCTTGACCCCTGGAATCTATAAAAACAATCCAGTAAGCTTGCATTGATGCTTAAAAAATCAAGTCGATCAACTTATGCATGTCACAAGTTAATGTATGTGGTTACAAGTATAGTAGTAATGAAAAATCAGGATGACAGTGCATAGACGAAATATTTGCAGCAGGGAAATGTTTGGAGTAAGATCAACATGGAGTTACCTTTCATAGTCAAAGACTACTTTGCTCCAGTGGAGCCAGCTGCCACCATTGTTCATACTAGTCTTGGAATGCAGACCTTGTGCACGTGCAACTATCTTCTTGCCGGGGCCAAGACTATCATATATGGGGTAGTCATGCACATTGGTATAACCAAACATCTCAGGCTTCTCTGGATTTGCTATAGGTACTTGGTTATAGTCTGGCCCAGTGATGATCTGGTGCATGTACCATGTGCGAATGTACTCAGTTGCCTGGGACTGTGGGGTTAGAGGACCACTCTTTGGACTAGCCATCGAAGGGCTGCATGCATTGGAGGTTGCTTTGGAATCAACATTTATCATATTGTCCTTGAAAGACTGCAAACAATGGAGTTGCTCTTCTTAGTTTTAAAACAAATAATTGAATGCAGACTAACAGAATTGGAAAGCTTGTTTTTCTGGGTAGCAGTATATTCATTCAAATCGCGAACGTAAGTTATTTTTGCCTTCTAAGTTTTTGTCCATGAAAATCGTACTTCTATTGTATATGTTAAATCTTCTCTTCCTTACTTGTCCATGGTTAATGAATGCTATCACTCTCAAAATGAATCAATAATCAATAAATTAAAATAATGTCCATCAAGGTTGTATGATTGATCTACTTTCGCAGAACAACTGACATTTGCAATTAGAGGGATTGGAATGCTTCTTCCCTACCTTAATGTTGTTCAAGTTAACAGGAAAACATACATATATAAGTGAAATTTATTCTAATAAAAATATAAGGAACACACTCAAAAAGTGCACATATGTGTTATTCTAGCTTGGGACCATGCATCCAAAAGGGGTTCATCTCATTAAATCACAGGAGCTCCTACCAATTGCATGTACACAATTACCTACATGCAACAATTAATTGCAGTTGACCTTAACAAATCAGGAAAACCAGTATTGCACAAACCTCATCACCACCGGTTTGGAAACCCCCTTCACACCCCTGGTTTTTGCCAGCATTTGTGAAATGTGGACAGGGGGAGGCAAGAGTAGGAGGAGAGACTAGGGTTTCCCATTATATACTCTGAGGCCATTCATAGGCTAAGATGGGTCGGATGGGCCTTTTATACTTACGATAGCAGTGTAGATATTTTCACCAGCGGTTGGTATACTGAACCGTCGGTGAAAATACTTTTAACTACCAATTCATAATACGAACCGTTGGCAAACATATTCACCAACAGTTCGTATTGCAAACCAGCGGTGAAACATAATACACTATGAAAATGATTTCTGTAGTACCATTACAACAAGTACAGACGTACAAATAGAAGGTACACTTGGAAAATAAAAATGTTACTATCACCTTAATCTCAATTGGAGTGGCCTGTCCTGTGAAGCCCAATGCACGGATACAGATCTCCTTTATGTTCGAGGATCCACTATCTTGTACTCTACAGATTGTGATTGTTCCTTTTGCAAAAGCAAATACTCCTGTCCCACCGACAATAGCCCATTCTCCTGTTATCTTATTTTGATCTCCTATTGCGATAAAACTTGACCCCTCAAAACTATTTCAGGAAATGAAATAATCCAATAAGCTTGAAATGGGTGCACAAAAAAGTAAGTCCAATGACAAGTTGTGTGCATGTATCCGTGACATGAATCAATATGGATATAGTATCAGAATTTTAATTAGTAAGGGAAAGTAGGTGGGATAGGCGGATAGCAATGCAGAAAAAGCATAAATGTTATAGAAGAGAAAGTCCAAATAGATTAAGATCAAAGTTAAGTACTGAAGTACGAACCTTTCATCGCAGAACACTAGCCTGCTCCAGTGGAACCAGTTATCATAGTCCAGACAAGTTTCAGTATGCAGACCTTGTGCACGTGCAACAATCTTTGCGTTGGGGTGAAGACTATCATATATGGGATAGTCATGGACATTTGTGCAACCAAACATCTGAGGTTGCCCTAGATTTGCAATATTTACATGGTTATAGTCTGGTCCGTCAAAGATCTGGTGCATGTACAATTTGCGATTGAACACAGTTCCTTCAGATTGCTGGGTGACAGGACGACTTTGAGGATAACAGTCCATGGAAAGGCCGCTAATATTTGAGCTTGAATTGGAGCCTTCCTTTATCGACTTGTCTTTGAGAAGCTGCAAACCAATGGAGGAGTGCCACTCTTTCAGTGTTAACACAAATTAATATTTTAATGTGGAAGAGAACCATTTTGCATTCTGTAACTTCAATGCAATAAGTACAACAGGTCTCAACACGTTTTTTGAGTCCAACTTCATCCTGATTGATATGGAACATGAAGAGAACCAACAGATAGCTCACCTAACATCCTAATTAAGATGCCAAATAGTCTCTTTCCTCAAATGTACCGTGGACTATCTCACATCAGAATACTTGGGTGGATGCCGTCTAATACGCTTGAGGCTTAGTTGGCCTTTTCACTACCCCAGATCTTCAAATCAGTGTCGGTTCAACCCTCCCCCTCCCCCGCCTTCACTGCCAGATTTTGAACCGACACAGGCAAACCGGCAGTGATGGGGGGTTCACATCAGTGTCAGTTCTTACGAACCGGCAGTGATGTGGTTTCCAGAAAACCCCAAAAATGGACTGAAAAAATAGGAAACAAATTAATACTGGGAAAGACCCCACTGGACAGTCACACGGTCGTGCGTCACAAGTCAAGCGCGGGTTTTTTCGCGCGAAAAAACCGCGCTTCGTGGCCACCAGGGCTTGAACCCCCGACCTCCTACTTATGCTGATGCTTATGCTGCTTTGTTGTGAGAGGAAAATACTATTTGTTCACTGAACCTGAAGTAGTGCTAAAGAACAGGGCGGAAGAAAGCCAACACATAGCTCACCTAACATCCTAATTAAGATGCAAATAGCCTCTTTCCTCAAATGTACCTTGAACTACCATACTTGGGTGGATGCCTTCTAATAGGCTTGAGGCTTAGTTGGCCTTTTGATTTCTCTCTTTTGTTTCCTACATGAAACAATGACTTACCTAGATATGTACCCATTCCAACACTATGGAACAAAGTATGCATGTCTCCTATTCCAACACATACAGGACAGAGTTGCCAGGGCTTATAATCAGAATGGGCAAATTGATGGTATCCTATCGATCAAATGTGCAATTTACCTCTGCTTTTGCACATCGAGGACCTAATTTCTTCCATACAATAATTTGCATCTCTCTTCATTTCCACAGTGATTTGGGATGCTCTAGTTGGCCTTCCCAACCCTAGGGCAACCCTAGAAACGCCTACCCTCATGGTGTCCATCCCGTGTGGGTGACTTTTGGTTTTCACAGTACTCTGACAAAAGTGAAGCGTCCATTTTTTTTGCAACAGCCAATGTGAGGTGCTACTTTTTGATATGCATGCTTGAGTGAGGTCAATTTTTGCTCCACCAAGCATATAGAATTCACTTCATATAATAAAATAACCTATCACATAGTTTACCGTGCAACAGCCACACCACGTTAGATGTTATATGTAACAGTATTGACTATCCAGCTCACTACTATATACGAATGATCCATGCATATAAGATACTAAAAGAAATGTTTTGTAGTAAACTCCAGTACATAAATTGAAAAAACATTCATTTTCATTCCTTTTTGGCTAATATCTGCTCTAGATTCTGAAATATCAATACTAGAACCCTCCTTTTTCTATAAACTATTATTGCATGTTGGAGCATGCTATATGCCATGAGTAAACTTACATGTGTTGACGAGAGGTTATAAACTTACTTGCGCTACTGAGTGGTCAATTTCAATAAAACCACATGTGCGTTCCAATTCGGCAAGCCTTTCAATTATATGCCTGGTCATTGGTCTCTTTGCTGGGTCAGAGTCCACGCAATCCAAGCCTATCTCAGCGCACACTCTTACATGTTCCAGCCATGTGCCTCCATCCGATGTTTTGAACCTATTACTCCAACTTTCAAGTACCTAAAGAAATGGCAATCATGAAGCTACGACTTATCATAGAATGGAAAATAAATGATACAGTGCAAACAACACACATAATAAACTAACACCAACAAATGTTTTGTGCATATTAAGATATGTTATGCTCGATGTGATGAGTGGCATTTATTCCGCATTTGATCAAGTGAGGAAAAAATGTTATACATGCAAATAACATTAGTTTTCCATTGTGTAGTTGTGTGACTATTTTTCTGTGTTTACTTTCCATTATTTTTGTTTACTATTGCTAACTCGCTTTAGTTCATGCTCCTCTTTTTCAGTTTACAATTTTATGAGAGTTGATGCTTGGAGACAAATATATTTACATGTTTTGTAATTTCTTTGTGATTTGCACTACCAGATTGACTTTACCGTATGATTATTAAACTTAATGTCAAGTTAACTCATACAAAATATATAAAGTATATTGTTGTTGAAGAAGATATTGCAATAATTCTTCAGTCAGATAAATGAGAGAAAATTAGGAAAAATCCTCCAAATTTTCTCATTAATTAATCAATAAGTGGAGAAAGATGTGCAGTATTTACTTTGGACAGGAAATATTTAACAGTGCCAACTGATTATAGCTACTAAAGATCTATAAAAAATACAACTATAATTTTACTAGCAAAACTTTAGGACTGTCCAGCAAACTTGTGCAATATATTTGGCTTATAGCTGTAGGGTTTAGAAATTTAGACCTGAGTGTATATCGGGTTAGAGTTGCATACTACACACAAACATATATATTGCCCTACACGCCAACTAGCCAGATCTATTAATGTCAAACCATTATCTGAGATACATTGCTCTTACACTCTCAATTGAAGGATCCGTCTTCTGTCCTGTCAAGATCTCTATAATTATAACACCAAGACTATATATGTCTGTCTTAAATGTGATTACTCCACGCAAATATTCTGGCGCCATATAGCCTCTGCATTGAAACTTGTTTGGTCAGAGATACCTTCAGAGCAAAATGAATGCAACATAATTCGTACCTGAGAAAATGTGTTTTCAAACTGATTAGGTATCTTACAGTGATCCCAGCACATATCCAGTTATAGCTCGGGTTTGTTTTGAATCAAAGCTCCTTGCGAGACCAAAATCACCAATTTTAGGCACCATTTTATAATCCAAGAGTATATTTGCAGGCTTGAGATCCGAATGAACTATTTTCTTTTCATGAAGATAATGCAAACCCTCGCAAATTCCCTTAATTATATGATACCGTATACTCCATTCAAGTCCGCTCGATGCATCTGCAATATAGAGATAATATTTTTATTTTTTTCTCTAGGGGTCAGGTGGGGGTGTTGGGGGTATATGATTGTATAGTGCTACTTAATCCATTGACATGAAGGAAAATAGGAATGACATGTGTTTAATATACAAGATGACAAATAATTATATTTATAGAATCTTACAGAAGCCATTCATGAAGTAAAAAGGAATGCGGCTAAGAGCATTTTCACCAGTGTCCCAATAATCTATCCCAAAATGTATGTATTTGGATAGCCCAATATTAATTTTGTGGATATTGGAGGAGTTGCTACAGTAGTACCCTAATATATCTCCAACATACTTTCTATATGAAAGGTGGGCCCCATAGGTGTGTAGGAGAAAGGATGGATGAAAAGTGGTGGTACCTTGTGTTTGAGGGGAGATGAGGGAATTATTGGTGGCCAAAAAAAAAGGTATTAAGAAATTGATGGAGCAACAAAAATCATTGTTATCCCAATATGGCAGTTTTATGGGAATATGGGGAGGTATTAGGATACTGTTGGAGATGCTCTAATGTTTTTTTATTACTCTTCCCAATATAAATTAATAAGATGGTAAGAAACATGCCACTGATATGCTTATCAAGACTCCCTTCTGGCAGAAATTCGAAGCAAAGAAACCTTTGTCGTTCCTCAACCATGATATTCTTTCCCTTGTGCTTCAACATTTTTCCTTGTGTATCAGAACAGTAGCCTAGAAATCGTACTATTTTTTTGTGTTTCACCTTCATCAGACTATTAACTTCTTGGATAAACTTCGTCTCATGCACATCAACCATTTCTGATAGCTTGAGCTTCTTCACAGCTACTATACCATTTTTAAGTAGGCCCTGCAATCATGATATTGCATTGGCTTGTCAATATGATGATGTGTTTGCTTTGTGTTTCAAATTGAGAGCAGTTGAAAGTACTGGTACCTTGTAAACATCGGCAAACCCACCACTGCCAATTTTGTGATCATTAGAGAAATTATCCGTGATGGATTCTAGAAGCCATATAGGAAAGCTTGTAGGATCTTCACTTTCATCAAGTAGAATGTGCTCCAAGAGATTCCGTGCACTGGCTTCATGATCCATTTGTAATTACCCTTCAGAACGAATTGCGTGGTCAAACAACACTAATCAAGAACATGAATTAGACCTGATATATAACCAAAAGTAAAAATAGTAAATCGTTGTTCCCAGCAATGGCACACAAACTTAACCACATACATTTTTGTCGGCACGGGATTTTTTTTTCTCCATTACTAATAAGTAACAAAAAATATCATTTTGATTACAGCTGGGGGTAGACATGGGGGTAGACCCTCAAAACATTTTTGTTGGAGGTTGGCTGAAGGGAACACCACTCTGTTTGCTCATTCTTAATTACTACCAAAGTGGATGCTGCTTGCAGGTTTCCAAGCAGGGGGGACATACACAAAGTAGACACGAAGACCAGTAGAGACTCAAAGGTCAAAGTTGTCGTGGTCTTTGCAAAACATGTGCTTACAGACTCTGTTTACTGTCCATAAGTATTAGTAGTGGTGGTTGTGGTTCTTTAAGTTTTAAATTCTCATACTGAATAAAGTGATTGTGTAAACTCAAAGAAGAGCTCTATATATATATATATATATATATATATATATATATATATATATATATATATATATATATATATATATATTTATTTATTTATTTATTTATTTATTTATTTATTTATTTATTTATTTATTTATTTATTTATTTATTTGACGAAACTGTGTCCCCAGACCAATATATTAAGCAACAAAGAAAACTGTACAGAGAGGTTAGCAAAAAGCTAACTCAGGGACTCACCTAGTTACAACTGGACCCAGCCCGACAAGAACGCAAAAAAATCTTATTACAGAGAACTAAGCCAAATCACGATTAACGGATGAACAGAGGGGGGAGTCTGAACAGATGAAGCTTAACTTCAGCTGCAAACAAAGTCTTCCAACAAGCCACCGAAGGGTCCTTACCGTATATATTAGCATGAATTAAGACTAATACAAAGCATTTCATTTCTTTAGTTGTAGGCGGTTGCTTATTGCTTTCTCTCATCTTAATCACATAAGATGTTTTGGTTTTTCTAGATACATTATTTTTATTATGAATTTAGACATGGTATATATATAAGTGCATAGTAAAAACTAGAAAAGTCAAAATGCCTCGTAAATTTGGAACAGAGGGAGTATTTGCCAAATGCCAACACACGTTCTGTTTTTGGAGGAATTATGCTGATGGTGCATGACAATGAATTGTGCATCTCCTTTTAACTATTTGATTTGCATGACGGCACGTAGGGACTCCACCCATACTACCATATGAATTGGTACAACACCTCGTGATTCATATATATCTCTTTGTTGCGGTGCATTTAACATGATTTTTTTTCAGGCTATGGTTACAACGCACAGTCATATATAGATCTGGTCTAAAGAAAATTGGAGTTGAGGTGAGAGTGTCTCCCGTTTTAGTTTTTTTTTTAAACAAGCCTCTCACCTCCTTACGGACAGGACGGCTAGCATAGCATGCATAGGATTATTATATTCCAGGAAAATGAAATTATTACGCAGACCACCATGCACATACCCCCCATGCTTAAGCACGAATCATCAGCACGCAGGTTTCTAGCAAAATGCAGGCAGAAATAGAATCGATTCACTAACCTGAAAGGTGGATAGGCTTGCAGAAGCATGCAGGTTGCGAAGCTGCTCCCTTCCCTTGAGAGTTGAGATCCGGAAAGAAGCGAGAAGAACGGCCGCGGCGCTCGCCTTGGTCCTTGACGTGGATCGGAGGGGGCGGAGGTAGCTCACAAGTCATAGATGAAAATGAAGTCGATTGGTAGTGTGGTACTGGGTAGCTGGAGAACAGATGGATTTAACGTCGGCTCATCAAAACAATTGGTCAGGCCGTCAGGGTTGTTCAGTCCATTACGGCACGAGAGTCAAACTACAGCTGTACTTAGAGCGGCCGGTCCTGGGTTGCTCACAGTGGTTTGAGCGGCCGGTCCTGGGTTAGAGCGGCACGAGAGTCAAACTACAGCTGAACAGTTGGCTTGCTCGCAGTGGTTTGAGCGGCCGGTCCTGGGTCAGATTCCGGGAATCAATCCACGAGCCTCGCCTCGGAGATTTATTCTCCGTTAGTTAATAATTTCAGTTGTCTCTCGCGCAGATATGTCATAATAGTTAAGTGATGTGCTCGCCACGCTCGGAGTCTGGTGATCTTCGAGTATCTCTCAGCTACGTTCGTTTTCTAAGTATAGTGGTAGGTTTATTTGAATACCATGTGTGTGTGAGGTGTGCGTGTGTGGTGGTGTGTGTATGTATCCAAACAGATACAGCTGTACTTAGAGATGAGAGGAAAAAAAAAAGAACTGGCTTGACAAGCAGTCCACTCGAAAGTTGTTTATGGGCTCTATAGATAAATCGTACCCTGAAATCAATCGGAACAAGAAAAAGAATTCATCAATCTCTTATTATCGGTGATTTTTTTATGAGCGTCACCATGCTTAACGTTTTATAGGTGATTCTTTTAGTGGGTGCATATACTGTAATAACAAAATATGTCGGTATCATCCAGTAGAAGTATGGGAATCGTCGGCGCCGACAATCGCCCCCCACGCACGCACCAACCCTCCATTCCATTCTATTCCCTGCGCATTTTAGTTACACTAGGAAGATACGTGTGCTTCGCTGCACGCGCAGAGGAGGGAAAACCAAAACCGGAAAAGAAAAGCAACAAAAAAATGGAAAGAGGGGAAAATTTAAAAAAAAAATTATTGTGCCAGCTACAGTGTCAAACAGTGCCGGAGCTCTGAGAGAGCTGGGATTCTGGGTGGTTATTCGGCCCAGGAAGGCTCAGAAGCTCCCAGGTATGTTTTTTTCTTTTTTTTCTATTTCTTTTTTCCTCTTTCTTTTCTTTCCTTTCTCAATTTCTTTTTTCTTTTTTATTTTTTATTTTTCTTTTCTTTTTATTTTTTTTGTTGTGTTCTATTGTTTTTGTTCTTTTTTTCTTTCTTTCTTTTCATCTATTCTTCTTTTTTATTTTTATTTTCTTTTCTTCTATTTCTTTTTTCCTTTCCTTTCTTTTTTATTTTTATTTTTCGGTGGTATTTTTATTATCCTTTTTGCTTTCTTTTTCTATTTTCATATTTTATTCTTTTTTTATTTTTCCTTTCTTTTCTTCTATTTATAATTTTATGTTTCATTTCTTTTATTTATAGATATATGCGATGTTCATGTAGTATATATATGTAATATTCTATGATATACTTCTTAATGTCTGCAAGTAGAAATGTGATGTTCTATGATGTATTTTATAATATTCAGCAAGCATACATTGATGTTCTAGGACACATTTTCTTCTTTTTATTTGACTCTAATTAGTTTTAGTTCACCAATTTATTATTTTATTTTATATTTTCATGATATTTGTGATGTTCACGTAGTATATATATGATGTTCTATGCTATATTTAACGATGTTCATATAGTCTTAATGTGATGTTCTACGATGTATTTGTGATGTTCGGTATCATTTTTTTTCTTTTTATTTGACTATAATTAATTACTTCACTAATTTTATTTTTATTTTTTTATTTTTTACATTTTATGGTATATATGATGTTCGCGTAGTATACATATGATGTTATATGCTATTTTCTACTATGTTCGTGTAGTGTTAATATGATGTTCGACTATTATTTTTAAATACAGATTTATCATGAGATAAATGCTTGTTAAAAAAATTTATCGAAATATATCCATATGAGGTCTTGTTTTGAAGAGTTTATTACAATAAACACGATGGTGCAATCGGATTTTAATTAGGATACTTAGTTTAGGAGATATAGTTTTTTACCTAAAAAGTATGGGTATGTGCTGATGTCAGCAATTTTGGCTTTTAGTGCATGACTGCTGCATGGTCTGCTGTTTGGCCTAAGAATACAATTGAATTGGTACCAATTTAGTGGAGAAGTGAGGGAGGAAATTATTTTTTTGAGGGGAAGGGGGGTCGGCGGGATGCTTGCATGTAAGTGCATTGGTAAAAACAGGCAGATAGGTTAACTGTGCGCATGGATAGAACTTCGAAACTGAAGTGATGCATGGGTGGATTTTGTAATTTTTAATTTATATTCAATCAAAGTGAGAGCCATGTTTAATACTCGTTCCTTCTAGAAAAAGCAAGTCATGCCTACGCCTCGCCTCCCACATGGAAATCTTGCCTGGGCCAAATATCGCTCCCAGATTTTCGATTTCGAGCGCCTGGGGCTGGATGCACCTACCTAGGCCAGAGAGCCATCCAAACAACCCTATATTCTTGGCATAGTATTCCAGTCTGCACAAGCATTCCTTTTTTTGATGAATCAGGAGGAGCCAGGGGCTGCTACTGTAAATTTTATAAATAAACAGAGTACAAGTTACAAAAACAAGAGAGAATTACAGGGAGCCAAAGGAAGCTAGAAAGACCTAAAGGGGTTCAGGGAACCGAAAAAGAAAGAAAGGAAATCCAAAGGATTACAGAAAGGAGTTTATCCATGATTCTAGAAGATGAGCTACTCTGTCCTTTGCTCTATGCAGCAGTTAAAGAGCTTCTGAAGTTACATATCTTTTGCAACCATCCACAGTGGGGGTTTTGCTTCTGAAAATAACATCATTTCTTACCATCCAAATTCCCCAGCAGAAAAGGATGAATAAGTCAAGGGAGAATTTCACCTTCAATAGTGATTTCCAAGCTTGAAAATTTTCTGGAACTGAAAGATGATCAGTAAATTGAAAATTCACTAAGTTCCAACAGTCTTTGGCAAAGGGGCAGTAGAAGAGTAGGTGCATAGTTGTTTCTTTAGTGGATTTCTGACGTCATCAAGATGCATTCCTCCTCTTCTGATCATGTCCCTGGTACTTAATCTATCTTTAAGAATAAGCTAGAAAAAAATCTTATGCTTCCCTTGACAGGAGGTTTTCTAAAGCTATCTGAAGATTGGCTCAACCTGAAAGTGACCTGTTAAAGCTCTGTAAGCTTTGGAGGATGAAAAAAGAGTAGAGCCCCAAATATATGTCCAATTATCATTCA